CGCATTTTATTGACGCATTTTCCATTGAATTGCAGTATCCGTATAGCGGAACAGCGAATCAAAGAATTGTATGCGAAACAAGGTTATATGGAGCAGTATAAAACTCCGGAAGAGCGTGATAAGGTCCTTTTCACTTATTTTCCCGCATTGCTACATTAAAATACTGAAGCATTTGTGTTATAGCTGTATTTCACGCCCAAATAGAAGCAATTCAGGTTCTGGAAAAAGAAATTCGATTCTATGAACATCAGGTTCTGGACATCCGTGAACAAATTGCTGGCATCGAGGCAAGCCTCGTGGAGGAAGAAAAAGAGGAGGAACAGCTTCACCAAAGAATTATGGTACATTTTATGCTGGGAAATAATTTTTGCACTGGTTTAATAGGAAATAATTTTTTTTTTTGCGTTTTCGCTTCAAAGTTCAAAATTGTAAAATTGTGGAATGCTAAAACGCATATTATTTGAAAGGTTATGTATAATTACCTGCATATTTCGATCGCCAAATCTGCGGTATCTATGAAATTTGAAATTTCGGCAGCGTTACTTTCCAAAACGCAAAATAGGCATTCGTTTCCTCCTAAATTTCATGTACGAATTGAGTCAGAGCTGCTAGAACGATTCCAGAAACGAGTCAAACTGGAAAGCTGAAATTTTACGGGAATGTTCACTGCTCATGTGTGGTCGAAAGGAATAAATTCAGATCACGCCTGAATTTCGCGCATAGGCCTAAATTTGGCACCCAAACACAAAAAAATTCAATTTTGCAAAATTATCAGTATCCTCCTCTCTCGAGGATCATACATGTTAGAAAACTGAAGTTTCACATGGTGCTACAGTGCAAAATTACCGGTTATGCCTTCTTTTTTGAGCATGGAAAAAGAGAGGGACAAGAAAATTTTAGTTTAAGCACAAATATTATCTGTGAAGCAGCGAACTTTTGGTGAACCAGGATAGGGGGCTGTACTGATGATTCCCACTCTTACCCACATGCACAGTTCGGTCAGTGTTTACAGCTAAGGGATGAAACACAGACAGACAGACTGCATCATAAAATGTCTTCGTACATATGGCTCTCAAGTCTGATCCCTCTGTTCTTCAACTGCTTACTGTTAACCGTTGTAGTCCAGCACGAAACAGTGCAAGGATGCATGAACACATCGGCAATCCCAGCTTGGCAACTATTTTCCTTTTTTTTGTGTGTGTTAAAATCGCTGCGTAAGAGCGTACCACGATTATTATGCGTGAAGGTATGCGATGCCGACTGGAGCTTCCAGGCTGACTTTGGATGCCGAAGTATCGAAGGCGTACAGACTACAGAAGGCAGGAAAGAATGAGGAAAGGAGGCAAGAATGAGATAAGACGTTTCGGTCGATTAAGTCATATACATCTTAACTCTGCGACAGGACCTCGTCAGTATGACGGTTGCAGTGTTTAATGGAAAAGGAAGAGAAAAGAGAAAGAGATTGAGAAGGCGCAAGGAAAGAAAGGAAAGGGCTGTGATTGTGGAACTAAGGGGGTGAGAATGGGGTGAAGAAGGAATATTTTCCTGAACCCGACTTACCAAGATTCATACACGTCATCCGCGACGGTAGATAACGTTCGTGCCCTCCCTTTCTTTTTTTACATTTTCTTATACTTTTCTTTTTCCCCATATATTTCCCCTTTTTCCTCCTACTATTTCTTCTGATTTACATCTTTTTATCTTAATTAATTTATACACCTCAGTGAATTATTTTGTTACCACAATCGTCGTACTGACGAGATCCAATTGTGGTAACAATAAGAAATGCATACGACTTAATGGACCGAAACATTTCTTACCTATAACAAATATTTCTTTAGACCCCTTACCTGTTTTAATATCCTTTTCCTCCTTTTCATTGTTTCCTTCTTCTCGTGATATTTCCTTTTTAACCTTTAATAGATAAAAGAAGAAGCAAGGTTTAAAAAAGGTGAAGCGACAGCATATCACAAACAAGCATAAGCTCATGCATGTCAGTAACTATTCCTCTCATATTGTAGAGCTTTCTTTTTTCCAGGACATTGGATTAAACGCTGAAGAGTTTGTTGATAAACTAACAAAAATGAATCAGGATATGACCGATTTACGACGTAAATTGAACGAAGCAATGGTTGTGGAAAGGTAACTTTACAAGTGTCAGTTCGAATAAATAATCGACTTTTCGGCACTGCTTTGTTATTATTATTATTATTATTGTTATTATTATTATCATTATCGTTATTATTATTATTATTATTATTATTATTATTTACTGCTGTAACAAGCCATTTTTAGTGATGCACTGAGAGAGGAGAAAAATGCTCGAGCGAATATGGATGCCGTGAAGGTGGACGTGCAACATGCGGAGCAAGACATTCGACGACTCGTTCCTAAGGTAAGCGAAGTTTAGAAATATTTCGGGAAGAGCCAATTAATTTCAATACTTTTTCAAGATTTCGAAAATTTCGTTTTCGTTTTTCAAAATTTCAAATCAAAAAAATTCAAAATCAAATTTGAAATCGAATTCAAAAAATTTCAAAGAAAATTCAAAAATTTTAAAATTTCAAAAATAAGCCGATACTTTTTTTTAAAAAAATAAAAATAATCACGTCGACCTTTTCTTGAAACAAACACGTCGGTGTGGATTTTTTATTACTTACGGGAACAACGGAAATATACCAAATTTGCGGAAAAATGTGGGGAATTTAAAAAAGCTTTTTCTGGCATTTTTTTTTAGAATTTTCGACCAGATCTTAATTTATTTGTTTTTTTTTAGTCTATCATGAACGGAGTGGATAGCGTGCGCCATGTGCTGGATTATTTTCGCTCTCAAAATACTAATGGACAACATAATGCTGTTTTGGAGGGCTATCGTGGTACCGGTTATTTACTTTAAAATAAATTGTAAAGGATGCCATGAGAGTGAAAAAAACCGAGAAAAAAGAAATTTTTCGCCCTCCCTCTTCCCAAAGTTTTTCGCCTCCCCTTCCCAGCGGCGCAGCTAGCAGTGCTAAAAATGAAGAAAATCTTCTTTGGCATCCCTTTTCGCCTCCCGCCCTCTCTCCCTTCCCCCCTCCTCCATGAGCTCTACCTTTCCCTTTC